TGCAAAGTCACTTACCTCATTCCCAAGCGTGCCTTACGAATGTCGTGCGGTTAGAAGTAGTTAGTGGTTGCGCCAAAAACAGCCAACGCACGGATGTAATGACCGTTCATGCAAAGTTTGAAGAAGATTAAGTTCGTTTTCCCTTGCGACCGTTCTTGCTTCATGTGAGGTCAGCGCGACAAGAGAGCATGGAAGTCAATTTCTTTCGACTCCACCTAAGGTTCCTTGTAGAGGATGTACAATTTCTCAACCTTGGAATCAGCATCAGATGGGGTCTCAAGAGAGGTTTGTTCAGTAGAATCAAAATCCGGCGAAGGATCTGCACTTACATATTCAGCCTCTCCGTCTGTAGAGTGTGTTGATGATGTCTCTACCCCCTTTGCTGGTTTCCCTGCTGCAATCTGAAGCAATGTTGGACTGAGTGTCCCGGTTTGGTAGAATGCAAGCAAACCTCTTTCTTCACCCCGGGTTTCCACTCACTTTCACTGGTCCGGAGATCTACCCATGGTTTTATGGCAGGATCCTCCGGTTTGGGTGGAATCTTCGTTCCCTTGGGAAGGAAAATGGTGTTGGTGTTGTTCTTCACTGCGTTCCTCGCTCCCTTACTTTTGAAGGCAATCTTCTTAAAGACATTCATTGATTCTTCATCATCCACATAATCAGACTCATGGGCTGACGAAGAGCAAGATGCCTCGTAGTCTTGCTCTTGATCGTCACCAAGAGAAGGGTCCTCTGCGAAGGTCTCCTTGTCAACCTAAAGTAAATCATGCGTTGCAAAACGATTGCTGCCCAAAAACCGTTTGCCGCCGGTGGTCTTTTTGCCACCCGATCCACCCAAGAGGTTTTGTGCCTCCAGCTTGACTAAATCTCGCATGAGGGAAAGCCAATCTGTATACGTTATGAGTCCAAGCCCCAGTCGATGTGTTACAGTAGAGGGACCGTGCCTTTAATCACATCCAAGCAAGACTGCACAATCATCTCAAAATCTGGAGTAGCAAAGAGTTTACTAACGTACTATTGCAGACTATGCATGGAGCCGGTCCACTTGATGTGCTTGAGCTTGTCAAGCTTGAGTCTAGCTTTGGCTGCATCATGCGGATCAGCATATTGCTTAATCAAGAGATCTTTGAGTGTGACTATTGGCGTAGCCTTCAGCCATTTGTTCAGGTCTGTTCTTTTATAGCGCGAATGTACAACTTAGACTTCTAAGAAGCCCCTTATGGCAGGTTCCACATAGGTCCCTAGGACCGACGACTGAGTAACCGGGGGTGTCCCCAACACATCAAAGTAGGATCGCATGGAGCTCATCCAAGATTCGATGTCGTCATACTTAAATGGAATTTGGGCCGCCTTCCTGTCTACAAAGGGAAAGTTGCAGCTAGGACCAGCGACTGCTTGGTCCGAATTCGGCACTGCAACAGTTTCAGAATGCCCTGCACTGCCACTTGTCACTGCAGCAGCAGCAACAACAATAGCGAGGTCTGGACCTACCGCAAATCCGGATAGGCTGTTGGTCACACTCAAAGAAGAAGAAGAAGAAGAAGAAGAAGAAGAAGATATAATGAGAGGGGCAAGAACGGACGTACACGCAACACTAGAAGTAGGGTAAGCAGGCGGAAGGACACTTTGGGTCGGCTGCATGTTAGTAAACTGTTGCAGCGGGTCACGGTGCTGCTGCGCTATTAAGGCCATATCCTCGCACAACTTCTTGAGTTCGTCAAACTCCTTTGCGAGTTGGCCAGTATGGTCTTCAACAACCCAGACTTTCTACTAAGGCCCTGAGGAGTGGGACGATCTTCTCTTCCATCTCAGCATCAGCTAAGGCGGGCATGGTACTGAAGATGGCTTCATGAACCTTTACTTTGTCTCCCCTCTCCTTCTCCTTCTCTTCCTCTTCCCTCGTCAATGCTTTTTCATAAAAGAATTGGTACTGTACTTTTTCTGCCTCAGGGGCAGTGCCCATTTGTAGCTTCCATCCTGCTGTAGATGCCATGATGGAGGACGAGGGTGTCAATAAGTCTCTCAAGAGAGGTCCGCATTTCCTCACACTTCTGGGACGAACACTCCTCTTCCCTCTCCTCACCCCCTCAAGAGCAACACTCGGACGCTTCTCTCTTCTCTCTTTCTCTCTGGTTTGCGACTCGTGTAGACGCAGGCATTTAACGAACCCAATGAAAGAAACAACTTGAAAGCAATTAGAAGAGAAGGTAGAACTCCTAGCCGGAGTGGCAATTCATTTGGACTGGAGAGCAGTCAAAACAAAAAATAAAGATCAGAGAGTTATGATTCCACCACACAGTCTGGTCCGACTACGTATGAGGTCCTCTCAAGCCTAGCCGGACTCAGCTCCGTGAAGACACTGCAAATCAAATTCAAAGTGCACTACGTAATACAAAAGAGAATTGAGTGGTGTCCAAGGTGCGAGTCATGGGTGGATCGTGCGGTAAAGTCTGTTAAAACGTCTCAACTAAGATCCCCTCAACAGCGAGTGTCCTGGTCCGAAAGCATGAACTCCGAGTCCCAATCATATAGAGCAAGGTAACTGATGTCAACAGATTTGGGCCTGAGGGGCCCTTCTTGTTTGGGCCTGGTCCCCCTGAGTCCCAAATGGTCCCAGTGGAGTCAGAACCGGGTCCCAACAAACAAGCATTCCACAAAGACCTACTCTCTGCCCCTACCGAATTGAAAATATGAAATTTAGCCCCAGAAAGAACCTACAGATTATAGCCGTTCAGAATGAAATAAACAAGATACTCCATTCATTCACTCGCTAGGTGAGTAAGTAGTTCACACACCTTACACCAGATCAAGACTATGGAGCATTGAAGAAGAACCTAGAATACCCCAGCAGGCAGTCAATTTCATGCACACACACATGGGCACCTTGACGACACGACACTTACCTAAGTGGACGGGCTCTTGAGATGAAAGAAACTCTCCCCCCTCTCACATAGTCCTCCTGACCCAATTAGCATCCTCTACACTAGTGTCCTATCATCTAGGAGGGTCAACATCTACCCCAAAGTACAACACCAGATCCCCCGTCGGTGTTGAAGATCAAAGTAGCAACTTGCAGTCCGTAGGTGCAGATATGGCTGCCACCCTCAAGCTCGCCTAACTTGAGGGGAGCCTTAAAGTCACTCCTCGTCTTCCTTGAAGTCCAGATTCCAGTTGTAGGTGCCCTTCATTGTCGCCTCTCTTATTGCATCACGAAGTCTGACCTTGTGTCTCGCCACCACAAACATGCACTCAAGCAACCTGGTCGGGTCTAATGTCAACCCTACACCGCCCTGCCAGGTGGGAGCAGCTTCCCTTTACCACGCTGCCCCACTTAACCCTAACTTCCAGCCCTAACCCTAAGTGTTTAGCCCTTACCACTTAGGTTAGGGTTATGGCGGCAAAGTCAACTCTCGCCAGCAAGTAGAATCCGCTCTGATACCAGTGTTACGACCCTGGCCAATTTCGAAGTATGCAGTCATCAGAAACTACAATGCCATCCAATTGCAAAAAAAAATGAATGAACTTGAGAGGAGAGAGAGGGAAAGAAGAAGAAGAAGTAAGAGAGAAGAAGAAGATGATGTACTCCAGCATAGACCAAAGATAATGCTCTTCTTCTTCGCCAACCAATCTCCTCCTCCTTATCTCCTCCCCTCTTATTCAAACAAGAAATAACAATAATAATGTTAAATGGCTGAAACAGAATCAATGTCCGAATCCCACTTCTACTGCAGGCACAACATGAGCTCCACCATAGCCATAGCCACCCTTCCTCTTCCTCTTCATGTAAGCCGAGGCTATGGCGGGGTACTGAGGGCTCTACCCTCCTGTCCAAAGGACAACCCAAAGCAGCTATGTCGCTGCCCTCCTGTCCCAAGGTCAACATCAGGCAGCTATGCCGCTGCCCACTCAACCGCCATGCCTGACTCTGTCCCGAGCTTCCTTGATGCGGCACTACCCCAACYGGGGCCTTMCAGATGCAGCGCCTAACAASGTGATGAAGATGGTGTCCACCATAGCCAGGTAGGTACCYSGCMACTCTCCTCCTTGGTCCTCTTCTCCCTCCTCCTCCKACCGGTAGAGCTCCACCATAGCCAAGGTGGAAGCTCCCGGCTTCTTCCTCCCAGCAGCGCTGTAGTAGCCAGCGCTCCAGCAGCGTGTCGCCAAACTTGCAGACTGAAGAATGAGCACGGGCTCTTCCCTCGGCCTCCTGATATAGCGGCCTACTTGCCTCCTGGGCGGTGACTTCCAGGCCGCTTGGCCTCCCAAGCAACCGGTACCTCCTCCCTTTCGGAGGGAAACATCATTGCAGACTCTGATATTGCCCTTACAGGCCCTAGACTCAGACTGGATGGACTGGTACCGGCCTAGACCTAGCCTACTGCTACTGGGCCTCTAAAAATGCCAACTTTGTCTTCTTCTGCCGGCCTCGAGTACCTGGCACATCTACTGCTACTGGGTGCGGTACCGGCCTACCTGCTACTTGAGTGTTTTTCCCCTGCTCCAAGTGTCGCGGGCCCCTGGCTCTGCTACTAGAGTGTTTTCCATGTTGCAACCCTCAATATCACGGCCACAGGTAAGTACCGGCCCTATGGGCCTCCCAAACAAGCAAGTACCTGTGCGGGTCACACACACACTCATGCTGACAAGCACTCAGACAAGCACGCAGGTCAACAAGCATGCACACATACAGACTTAGAAACTCAGCAGAATGCGGGAATCTCAGCAAGGCATCCATTCCATCGGAAGAACTTCAGAAATCAGCAGTGTTCTCAGTCTGTGTTATGGCGGGTCATTACATATACAGAGTGTAGAGTGTGAATGTTGTGAATCGTTGTTGCTTTTGCCCGTGGGTTGGTTGGTCCATCACATGCTGATTTGGATTTTAGGTGGGGTTGCTGATTGGAGGTGCATAGGGTATTGAGTGGGAACTTCGTGAATCATTTTGGGATTCTGTCCATGGGTAATTAGGGTAAGATCATTGACAAACTTTTTTACATGCATTTGGTTGGTGATATTTGTTCCTTGGCTTGGAATTCGCTAGATTAGGGTTGCTTAATAATGGCGGCTTGGAGAAGGGGTGGATTAGGATTTCGGTTTCTGAAATAAGGGAACGCGATTGTTGTTATAGGGTTGGGATTGGGATTGGTTGTCATGACCTTGTGGGGCTGCGGTAGGGATAGGTTTGGCCGAGAGCGCCTTGCTTAGATCGTTCAGCCACAGCAATTGATGTAAGGGACGCCGGACCCGTTTCCTGGTTGTCTGATATCTGTTTTGTTCGGTAAACATTCTTCACCACATTTAAAATAAAAAAATAAAATTAAAATAATAATAATAAATTAAAAAATATATATATTTTTTTTACTGAGTACCGCCCCCCGTCTTCCGGTTTCACACAAGAATCGGCTTGCCGCAAGGACGATCCGAAAAGGTTCCCTGGGAGAAAACCAGCTGTCCCCTGACAAATGTGAAATCTACTCTCCCATCCAGAGTCATGTTGAAGAAAGGGGTCGCCTGCAACCGAGAGAGCCACAGACATGACACAGATCTCAGTAAATGAAAACTCCCTTTCTGCCAAAGTTTTGGGACATTATTCTGGTCAGATACATCCAGGCCAGTTTCTGGGAAAAAAAAAAAAAAAAAAAAAAACAGGACACAGACTTCTGACACAATTTAACATCAGTATTTTTTTCTCTCTTTTTTAAAGTTTTTTTTTTAAACATCGATGAAAACACTGGTTAATACCTTTCTCAGCCTCTCCGCTAAAAATAGATCAAGTGCACGGTATCTGTTCTTTTTTTTTTTTTTTTTTTTTTAGAAACAACCCGAGCAGCTGCTAGGGGTGCTGATAAGAGCAGACACCACTAGCATGCTCGGGGAGGCCCCATCTATTAGTGGGGAGCAGCACCTGCTGGAAATCGGGTCCAGCGTCCCTTGACAGTGTAACAGTCATTGTTATGGACGCACATTCAACCCACAACGCACCCAAGTGCACAGTCTACCAAGGCAACATATGAGTACTCGTAGGTAGCCCATAGCTGCCCGATCTGCCAGCTGTCATCGTGATCCGGGTGGCGTGTCTCGCTGCCCATGGGCTCAAGGCGAGGTGGACTGTGAGCCTTTTGCAGTGGCCGAATCGTCGTCATCCTGTCATCCAGGGGGGCAGGCCGTGGCTGCACCCACTTCGGGGCGCTCCTGTCCTTCCCAGTCACTGTAGTGTTGTATGTTTTGTTGTGCAGTCGTCCTTATCTCCTTAACCAGGTTCCAGGCACTGTCGTCCGATAATGTCCAGTGTCTTTTGTCGCCTTGCCTGCCTTGCACAGTCATTGGCCTCAGGAAGTATCTCGCTGTTCTCGCCTTCACTATACTCATCTTCGCTCCTCTCCGCCAGAACTCCCTTGCTGCAGCCTGTGTAGGAACTGTGATCTGCATTCCAGCCCAACTGCACTCACCCTTAGTCTCAATCTCATCTGTCAGCTGTATTATTTAAGTGGGCTGGCATGGGTGTGTCACTTGTAAGAGGAGGGCAGGGGTTGGAAGGGGCGGGGAGGGAGTTGCTGGGGTCGGGCAGATCGGGACGAGCGGAGACAGACAAGATGTAAGGACAGGGCCCAGCAATGGGGGCACACCGTTGGGAGTCACTGTATCAGCACGAAGTTGGGCTGCAGGTAGGGGACTTGGAAGGTGTGAAAGGGTCTCCTTTGCCACGTTGGCTCTGAGCTTCTCCAGTGCTTCCAGCGGATGTTTGAGTTAGCATCCAATTCCGAGAATGCTCGGCCCGGGTCCTGCCAGAGCTGGAGGTAGACTTCCTTAAGGGACTCCTTGATCGTGGGATCCTTCTCCTCCCGATAGCTCCGTATGAAGTTTTTCCAGGCCCCTTGAGTATGGGATCTGATTTCGTCTTCTATTACTTGTTGGGCTTGCAGGAACCCGAACTGATGATCTCTTCTTTCAAAGGCACATCTGGCTCTCCAGGCCAGCATAAGGATCTGTAATCTCGTATAGTTGAAAAGGTTTGTTGCATAAGGCGAACGTTTGGACTGACTGGGTTGTTTCTTCCCAAGTAGCAAGAGACTGAGGTCCCACGGGATGTGCTGGCCCGTGAGGGAGTGGAAGGCAGCGTCCCACCACTGCCACAGTTGAGTGACCATAGGGCAGGCAAGCAAACAGTGCTCCAGCGTTGCCCTGGCCGGCGATGATGACCTGCCGCAGTAAGTGCAGATGGGTGACAGCAGCCCTTTTTGCTCCAAGTCTGTCCGCGAGACCAACCAGTCAGGGGTAGGCAAGCATCGGTGCAGAATCTGCCATTGGAGGGCACGCAGGCTGGTGGGCATGATCTTGGCATATTTAGCCCAAGGTGGATTGCCCATTATTCCCGACTGTAGGGGCGAGTTGCGATCCCACCTCTTTGCCAATGTTTGGTCAATGGTGGTGGTGGAGCGCGAAGCTCTGTATCCTCCTTTGACCCTATAGTCCCACACATGCATGGGTTTCGGTCCAGCCCATTCCCATTCTGCTGGGTCAAAAGGCAGTCTGGCTACCGGTATTGCGGGTTCGTATACAAAGAGCGCTTCTTGGGGGTTCCCTACGACCCGCACATGCATCAGACCCGCCCAATTCACTATCTCATCCAATTCCTCGTTCCTCGTGAGTTTAGAGAGTCTGACGCCCGGTTTATGGGGAACATACGCTTCAAGCCGGCATCTACCTTCGTCGTTTCTGCAAACTTTATATATGGTGAGCGATGTGGGGAGGTGCGCACTTTGGATGACCCAGTCATTCAGCTGGATCTTCGGGCCTTCTTGTAGCGTTATCCTCCAAGCCAGGGGGAGAGCCTCCCTGATCGTCTGCAATCTGTCACCCACATCCCTTGCACGCTTGAGCCTTAGTTGCAGCCGGTCAGCTGTGACCCATTCATTTGTTTTAATGTCCCACAGGTCCCCCACCGTAAACACCCCTTTTTTTGCCCAGGTGAGCCAAGGGGAGGTATTGGAAAAGCTAAGCGGGCTACCATTGTCATCGAGGATGAAGGGGTTGTCAAATAGCGGTTGCCTCCATATTTCCTGCCATCTGTTCGGGATAGGCTTTTGCTGTGGCCCCCTTGTCCTCCACAGTTTAATCATATAAGACCAGAGAGGATCAGAGAGCAGGTCCATCCTGGCCACCCTGCGTGGATCGTTCCCATGGCCCTGTTTCGGGGGGGAGGGGATTGTCCAATGCTTGTTGGTCAGCCATCGGAACGGATGCAGTGCGTTGATTGGTGCTGAATCCGGGGCCAAGGTGACAATCTGCAGGCTAGCCAGCTATGCCCACGGAATGTTGTCACCCATCAGCAACCTAATCAACACTTTGAAAATTAGTGCCTCACTTTCTCTTTCCGGATCCAGTATCCCCAGTCCCCCCTTGGTCCTAGGCTGCGTGAGGACGTCCCAGCTCACACGCTGCACACACCTCTGGGTTTTGGCACTGTTTTTCCAGAGGTATGTGGAAAGCGCTTTTCTCAGTCTGGCGTACTGTTTGTTGTTGAGTGGCCAGACTGCTAGTTTGTACCAAATGGCAGCCAATACAGCATTGTTTATTGCCAGAGCCCTTCCAACTATCGAGGTGTGCAGACCTTCCCATTTCACCAGCCTATCAATCGCCATATTGACAAGCATATCCCCRTGATCCGRGGGGGGGRCCAGAGCCGTCARTCTCACCCCCAATATTCTGATGGCATCCTCCTTCATCCCCCATGCCACAGCCGACTTAGGCGGTGGCGGGTCCCCCGCTGGGTGGAGCCACCAGCCTTCCGTCTTTGAGCCCCAATTGACTTTCATGTCTGCTGCTAATGAGAAGAGGTGTATGACTTGTGTAAGGGCTCGTATGCTACCCTCATCCGCTTTAATGAGAACCGTTAGGTCGTCTGCGAACCTGGATGTCACCGGAATGAGATGGTCAGGGATTTCTGGGATAGGCACTTCGCTGATCCCCGGGTGAGATCTGATCTTCGAGGCGAGGGCTTCCATCACGATCACAAACAGCAGAGGCGCTACCCTGACGGACTGACCGTTGGAGGTGTATTGGAGGTGATAGGTGGTCATTGAGCATGATGTTAGTAGTAGCCATCCTGTGGAGGAGCTGTACCCAATTACAAAAGGTCGGGCCAAAATTCATCCTAGCCAAGCACATGTCCAGGAAATCCCAGTCGACGTGGTCATATGCTTTCTCAAAGTCTATAAACATGATAGCCGCTTGGGCTTTTCACTGCCTCGCATATCTGATGGTTTCGTTGACCAGCAAGATATTGTCTTGGATGTTGCGGTTGGGCATGAAGCCCGCCTGGTCAGGGTTGATGAGCACATTCATATGGGGCAGCAATCTCTTGGTCAAGGCTTTGACCACTAGCTTATATGGGACAGGGAGGAGGGTTATGGGTCTGTAATTCCTGATATCCTCCCTGTCCCCCTTTTTATAAATGAGTGTAGTCATGCCCCCGAAGGTGCCACATTGCTGGACCGCCAAAATATAGTCCAACAGATCCTCTTTTAGCAGATCCCAGAATTGCACCCAGAATTCTTTTGGAAACGAGTCTATGCCTGGCATCTTCTCATCTTCCATATCCTGTAGCGCTTTCCAAATATCTTGTTGGGTAAGAGGGCGATCAAGCTCTTCCTTTTGGGCCTCTGTAAGACTCGCGTGGACAGTTGACAACAATTCTTGTCTCGCGCGGTGGACCTCTTCCGGGGGTTTGGTCGGCGTTTGAGAGGTGAACATGTGTCGATAATACTGGGCAGCGTAGTCAGTTATGGTGTATGCATTGGTTGCACGAGGGGCTGCTGCATCCAGCGGATGCCTCAGTGTCGGGACGGTATTAGCTCTTGCTCTGGCTTTTGCTTTGAGAAAAAAGGTCTTCGACATGGTCCCATCAGTGTGTGCCCGCTTGATTCTGGCCTGGATCCTCCAAGCTTGTGTCTGCCTTTCGAGGTATTCTTGGAGGTGGGTTCTGGCCTCTTGCAACGTATCATAGGTGGGACTGTGGAGGGGGTCCCTCATGAGCTGTTCATCCCAGTCTTCAAGGTCCTGCATCAGTTTTTCGAGGACGGCCTCGCGGTCCCTTGCGTGTTGGATGGAGAACTTTTTGGCTCTCTCCCTCGTCAGAGCCATTCCCTCATTAAACCATTTCACGCGGTCAGCTGATATCCGTTTCCGGGTCTGCCAATATGCCCAGAATGCGTTAATATGCTCTTTAAAACTCGTCAGGGGGAGAAGGGAGGGTATCTGTTCTGATCAGTTTCATATCTGATCTGTGGTCCAAACTGGTTGGATCCTTTTTTTTTTTTTTTTTTTTTTTTTTTACCAAATACCAAGTTTCTGAACTCTCCCTGCATCCACTTCCCTCTCTGCCTCCAGTCACACTCTGGGGCCTGGACCCATTAGCGAAGTATTCTACCACTCCGTTCAGGAATTCGATCACGTGTGGCCTCGAGTGATGCAGTACAGCCGTCGAATACATCGGATCTCAACGGCCCGGT